TTGTTGTTGTTGTATGCAGTTTCCAGCAAACTTTAATTAATTTTTTTCTATTTGTGAAAATTTCTACGTTATTTAAAGGTAATTTTTATTATAGGCCTATAGACCTTACACAGCATTATTAATATGATTTTGGAGGTTACAGAACTTTAAAATTACTTTAAAAAATGGAAAATAATTATATCATTTGATTTCAAGATATTTTGTATACCTTAAAAATAATTAATTCTATCCCGGGATCCCGGGACAAGCAAAAGACCGGGAAATAAGAAACCCTAGTCATAAGTTCTGTCAATTTTGTAAAGGTAAGCACTTTAAACAGTTGACTGTTACGAGTTGGATGAGCTGAACAATGCTTTGCTATTTCACACTAAAGTGAGACGGTTGTCCAGAGGAAAAGTTTTAAAACGTGTTTTTGAGCTTCGTGATGAACTCAAAACATTTCTTAATCAGAAAGCAAGACTGTAGTTCAAAGCACTTTTCAGTGATAAAAGTGAACTGAAGAAAATAGCTTGCTTGGTTGACATATTTGCCATCTTGAACGAGTTAAATTTATAACTGCAAGGACCAAATGCAACATGCCTCGATTTGTCCGAAAAGATCATCAGCTTTGGCAGAAAAACTTGGATGAAAATAAAATTTACACGTTGCCTACCTTGTCTGCTTTCTTTGAGGAACATGACATTGAACCAGACAAAAGGACTAAGATGATAATTTCTGTGAAAGAACACTTGTGCACGCTTGCAGACGAAATTTCATCGTACTTTCCAAATATATTTGACACCCCATTTGCATTTGCCAGAAGCCCATTCACAGTCAAAGTCGAAGATGTTCCCGAGGCAGTGCAAAAGGAGTTCATCGAACTTATTAATTAACAGGAATGCAGCGAGAACCGATTTCTCTACAATGCCAGTTACAAAATTCCGGACGAAGCGTCTGCAGTCATATCCCATTTTGTCCGAGACCACGTTGCACTTTCTTCTTCCATTTCCAACAACATATCTTTGCGAAACAGGGTTTACCAGCTCGTCGGTAATCAAGTCTAAATATAGAAGTAGACTCGTCGCAGAAGACGATCTCCGCCGCACTCTCGCAAAGACCTCCCCGAGAATTTCTAATCCAGTGAGAAAGAAGCAATCTCGACCTTCGCATCGACGTCGGCTTTTTTACACGTACCCTCGAAAAACGTAGCAACATAGTTTACCATTGCTATATTAAGACTATTACCCACGCTATACCACGCTTCAAGACAAAATTTCATTTATTTGTAATTAGATACATAATTATATATTGTGAAATATTTATACAGTTTTGTGATTAATCACTATGCTAAATTACGTTCAATTTTTAACAACGAAAATATATCCCGCATATCAGATATTTACGTTACGATTCACAACAGTAGCAAAATTAGTTACGAAGTAGCAACGAAAATAATTTCACGGTCGGGGTCGCCACAACACGAGGAACCGCATCGAAGGGTCGCAGCATCGGGAAGGTCGAGAACCACCGTTCTAGACGGAACTAACAAACGCGGGTAATTCCCCGCGGGTCCGGAGGCGGCCGACCGAGCACGGTTTTCGGGTCTTCTACGCATCCTTAACTTCTAAACGGGGCCCCTTTTCCCCGAAAGTCCTCCCGGGAGGCATCTCCCCGGGAAGATCGCCCGTCGACGCATCCCACCAAATCCCAAGACCCCATCTTCTTTTTCTGCGCATTTTCGTTAGAATCTTCGTTCGTATCCGACGACGGCACTTCGGGTTCCAAAAAAACTTTCCTCGAATCGACCGTCGTCGCATTCGCCATTGCCGCTCCTTTCGTCTCCAATTATAACGCGGTCACCGGTCCAGTTCGTCCACGTCGTTAATTCGGATCAACACTACTCCGGCAATAAGCATTCGTATAAATATCGTACCGAAAATGTTCTATTCAAATTAACGTAGCCGAACATCATATATTTAACTTTTCAACATTTAAAAAAGACGGAACGCAGGCAATCGCGCCGGCACTTTGACGGAATCGAGCCTTCGCCACTCTAGCCGTAACAATGTGACCCGGGTCGTTTTCATAAAAACGGCTCATGCCAAAATTGAACGAAAATGGGTTTTTTGCCGCATCCGGCGGGCGAATCGCCCACAAAATATCGTGCAATATCAGTACCCATCAAGATTCTATACGAATTTCATTATTATTAACAACAATTATAACGTAAAATAGAAAAAAAGAAGTGTCTCACCACAGTAGTTAACTTTTTGTTTCCCAGCTTGGCTTTTACCAGACATTTGAATTCGCTTACTTGCATAGACGGAGAAACTGGCACATTCGACGGCTTGGGCTTGGGCTTGGGCTTGGTTCTTCCATCATCTGCGCAACGAACATAATCATTTGTACTTTTCATCAACACAACCCTCGTGCAATGTCAACACTTACATCTTTTCATGGTCAAATACATGCTGCCGCTGTTTCTGCCTCTTTGAAATAGCCTGGTCAGTTCGCTAAGAAACTGTAATTTATAAAACCGTCTTACTTAAATTATAGTTAATTTAAAATAAGTAATATTGACAAAAACCTACGGCTTCGTTCTCCAATAACACCATCTTCTTCCAAGAACGTGCGGTGACTAGTTTTTCACTTTGGTAACAGATGGCGCGAGAGTGAAACGTGTTGCCAGATTGAATTTTTTTTTCCGATGGCCAAATGAATCGATTAAAAAAAATTAAAGCGAAATGACTCTCGTAATCCATTTCACATTTGTGGTGATTAAAAATAAATGGTATGTTGTTGATGTAAAAAGTTTATGTTGTATTTTAAATATTTTGGAAAAAATGTTTTAATAATTTTCGTGGCGAGTATAGAAAAATCAGTAATAGTGATGTAAGGAATATTCGGTTACTTTTCGGTGTTCGGTCGAATACCTAATACCTAAAAACAGGAGTAAGAAATAACAAAAACACAATAAATTAATCATTTAGGTATTTAGATTTAATGTTATCGGGTTGGTGTTGTTTGTTTATATTTATAACTTATAACATGCACAAAATAAAAAAGAAAATAATATTAGTCACACCTATTCACTATTTGTAATTACAAAGATCAGCACACGTACCGTACACACTTATTCGTTCGAGAATCGTCGCGCATCTGAGGTCTGCCTATCACCCCGCCTATCATTTTTAAGCGCTCGTCTTTGCTCTTCCCTTTCTCTTTCCTCTATCGCTCTAGTCCACGTATGCCTATGCACACATCATTATATGTGCTCCAGTGGCGTGCCGTCATTAGAAGCGTTGGAAGCGCCGCTTCCCTCGTATTCTCTAAAAAATAAATAAATATTAATTTTAATTATATGAAAATAATCGCACAATATTTTATTATAACCGCATTATGTATCTTATTACAAATTTCTATACTACACG